TGGCATGTCTTGAACAAACACAGACCAATTGCACTGGGCTGCCTGGTGTGTCAAGCCATGATCTACAGTTTTGTTTTGCATTATTTGAGAAGGCTCAGGAAGTTAATCTATACTCCACAGAACAAGAGAGACAGATATATAATACAAGTTCCTGCAGTTTCCCTGTGTTAGCATAAATCCCAGGCTCAAGCTGATATCCAGTGTCTAAGACAAGCAGCAGGTCCCACGCCAGCTAGCTGCCACATGGTCTGAGCGAGCTGCGGTGGCAGAGCAGCTTTGAAAACTCTGATATGAAATATTCAAAACTCACACATGCAACTTTCCTAACTCTCCTGAATATATGCAATCAAATGTGTGGCTCCTTTCCCACTCAAACCTTGGAATTGCATTATTCATCTGAGGCAGTGTTTCAACTTTCTCTCTTTCTTTGCCCGCAGTGCTCCCACCCACACCAGTGAATTAAGTCCCCGTCTTCTAATTCAATCCCAATATTCTTCCCCGTCATTCTCCAAAAACTGAGCCCTGCCAGTGTGCACATGTTCTGTCTGTATATGAATAACACATATTACAACATGTACAACATATGCTCATTTTTTATCCAACAACTATATTGTGTTACTATGAGTGAAAATGTGGTTCTCTTAAATGTCAACAGATCAAAGCCTAAACAACATTGGGCTTGTTTTTATCTTGACTGTCATTTCAAGCTAAAACATTCATCTAGTTTCTTTGAAAGAGTTTCAACAGTAATGGGAAAACAGATTACGCTCATTTTCAGGTTCATACTTGTTTACATGCTTCAATGTTCAAGAAACACATTATTTTTCTCCATCACCTTTGCAAAATCATCATTCTCAAATTGTGGCGGGGAGAGGGAGAGAGTTATATTTTAATGAGCATTTAATGTGACATAGAAAGAGGATACAAATCAAATATTAACAGCTTGTTGAAACTCGTGTTTTCTGACTGGGGCAAAAAACTGGGTTGTCTTGTTTCACATGTGGTGTTTCGGTAGGCACTCCAGATACCCAAATGTATGTGAACAAGCACAGAAACAGTAAGGTTATTAAGATATATCCCCTTAAAGTAAATGTAACACCACCACAAAGTAAAAATACTACTATAGCCTACAAGTTAAGGCCCTGTAACCCTTGTTGTAGCTCATCCTTTATGCGTTTTCAAATCTCAATTTGTAATGTTAGATAAATGCAGTATATTTTCCTCGACAATGTTATGGTGTAGACTAAAACACGGTGCCATTGATTGATTTCCTGGGTAGTTTCTACAAATCCATTTTTTATTTAAAGTCTGTTAAAGACCTCACAGTTTACTGTTTGCTGTTCTGTTAATCCTACCTAGAGCTGCCAGAAGAATTTAATTAGTCTTGGTTTTGTTCAGAGATTATGTCCCACTGGTTGAATGTGATTTCTGAGGAAATATTCAGGCGGTGACACTTTCTCTGCCATGAAAATGAGCAAAACCAAAACAACTATTGGCAGTCCCAGTCTCTTATATGTATTGGCATCAGCTTTCAAACATCAACCCGATTAACCCCTGTGTGTGTTTGTGTTGGTTTGCATGTTCTGTACTGTGAGACACCTGTTTTGGTGTGACATTTTACGACACTTCTTCTAGGTATGTTACAGTCTGCCATGCCTAGAGAGTCGGCAGCTTTATTTACCAACAAACACAGGAGGAAGGTAGCGACAACCTATTCTCTTCAACAGTAGACAGTATTGGACTTCAAGCAGGGGAATATTTGCATTAATAACTCAACTGGAGATAATTATATTTTGAAACAGTAGAAAACTGTACAAATATTGGATATAGGACAAGGTCATGCTAGTCCACACATTTGAAAAGCTGATGGGAACATGAAATGTTTGTTCAAAGACAGACAAATCTATTAGCCATTATTGCAGATGAATCTTTTATTGATCATTGTTGTTCTTGTCATTTAACTAGAGGGTAATTACAGTTTCTGATAACAGTGGGTAATTCTCATCATCTTTATCTTGAGTAAATGGATATAGGATTTGTAAAAGTGTTACTAGACATCTAAATCCTAAAGCTCTCTTGTGCCAATGACTCACTGGATTGTACAAATTGGAAAATTGATGGGAACATTTCGCAAATGTTGAAACCACTGACCCAGGCTCATACATAATGCAGCTGGCTCTGATGTAGGTTCCTGCTCCATTTTTGTCCTGATTGAGTAATACAAGATAGCACAGACTAATTACAGTTTGGGAAACAACGTCAGGTCAGATCCGTGTTTCTGAAGAGAAGGGAAGCTTGTTGACTCCTCCTGGTTTGCATTTGGCTTGTGTGTGTGTGTGTGTGTGTGTGTGTGTGTGTGTGTGTGTGTGTGTGTGTGTGTGTGTGTGTGTGTGTGTGTGTGGTGTGTGTGTGTGTGTGTGTGTGTGTGTGTGTGTGTGGGTGTGTGTGTGTGTGTGTGTGTGTGTGTGTGTGTGTGTGTGTGTGTGTGTGTGTGTGTGTGTGTGTGTGTGTGTGTGTGTGTGTGTGTGTGTGTGTGTGTGTGTGTGGTGTGTGTGTGTGTGGTGTCCACAGCACCTCAGTGGAAACTTGGCCATGAGCCGACCGTTGCCCATGAGGGCTGGTAAACACGCTGCAATGGAGTGTCAAACACAATGTAAACTTGTTTCCATCACTCCATTCAGCCGCTCGCTCTTCTTCTTCGCTTCGTTTCCTTGGTCTTTGAACTCTAAATCATCCTGTGTTTTATGTGTAATCATGTACAGATAATCCACATTGGGTAGCTCATGTGCTTCATTACAATTCCTGCCAAGTGTGATTGAACCGACAGCTGTTATTGTTGAGTTACATTAAAGATAACTAAAAGTCATTTGCAACCAGATTTTTTTGAAATGTAATTTAGTGTGAGGTAGGTCATCTGTTCATGTTCCTATGGGAGCATTTAGAGCATGTACAGTGTGCAGTGGATCAATGGTAAACAACTGTGTAGCACGTTCACACGTCCTGAGTATACATCATATCTGTCAGCCGCAGTCCCAGAGGCCAGTGAGGGTCTGAGCGAGGTCACATCAGATCACTGCCCCCCATGCTACACCCAAATCAGATGTCTGATGAATTGCTCTCCATAAAAAGATTCCTCTGTTACAGTGGACCGTGACACAGCCAAATAGGGTAAGATGGTTACGTGAGCATTCCCCAGTCGTTAAAATTCTTACGGGTAATTCAGAAAGGCCTCTAGACGGGTTTGTCGATACAACCTGTGCCCAATGATCTTGCCCGTGGCTGCTGTAACTGTGGTTTTTGGTTTTCATCTGAACCAGAAAGTGATGCTTTTCATACAAGAAAATGCAAGTTATGCTGGGTGTCATTCCTCCTGACAGTTTTCAGGAAAAAAAAGACAGCTGTTTTGGCTTTTCATAGTTGATCCAGATATTCCACAGCTGGCATAACTGTAATTTTACTCTTGTTTTCCAGCCTTTAAAATATTATAACCTGCGTCATTTCATATCACCGTACCACACACAGATAAAGTTATTTTGAACAACCTTTTGTCCCTGACATGATGAATTTGCCTCTAAAATATAAAAAAGGAACACCAATGTCACAACAGTAGTGCACGAGTGTCCTACAAGAAAAATGAATACCTGCATATTCCAGTTTTCTGGCTTCAACTCCTCTCGCCTTTATCTTGCTCTTATCTTCTGTTTGTAAAAAGAGAATGTTTCTGTTCCTGTCACCCCTTAAATAAACCATTCAGATGAAGCAGTCTTGTTTCAACTGTTCCAAAGAAAAGTTACAAATGTGGGTTTTGATAAGGTGAAAAAAACTGATGTTGTCGCAACAATCTGCTCGCACTTGGAGCCGACAGCTGTCCTGTGTGATACACTGCATTGAAAGGGGCTGTCTGGCACTCAGTGAGCATGTGCTGAGAGGTGACGGACAGGACCTGGCCTCCTCCTGCTCCTATCGCTCCCTGTTAGCACTTCTTCTCCTCCTGTACTTCCCGCTAATCACAACTGACAAGGGGTCCACAGGACTCTGTCTACACACACTGATAGAGAGAGTGCTGAGCTGTCTGGGAAAGAGCACAGGTAGAGACAGGGAAAAAAAGACAGATTTCAACAACATCTGCATCACCTGCTAAATAGTCTGCTTCTCAGTTTTGAAGGCTGCAGGATTTGCATGAATTAATGAAGGACATGAGGTTGCAAGAGCATGGCATGACAGAGCATTGTCAATTAGAACGCTCTGACTGATGTGGATGCTGTGAGAAGACCAGATGTTGAAAAGCTTCAGGGGCAAATGTATACAAATATGTACGAGAGAGGGTCGAGAAGTACTGTGCACAGTATACGTCATATTCTTAGTGTGTGCATCAGCAAACATGTGCTTGCTTAGATGTTTATATATGTGCGAAGGTGTGATCCCAGGAGAGCTTTACATCTGAGGGTACACACGTGTGCCTCCTGGACTGAGCACACATTTTCTTATGCACACGGAAGACCTGCATGCTGAAACATTGATGGAGACCTTCCACTGTGATGCAACACATCATCAGTGACACTTAAAGTACGATGAATATTTCAATGACCTGGTGCAGTGGGGACATTAGGAGTCAAGCTGGAGGGCAACCACAGGACTATTCTGAACATTTCACAGCAACACTTTGTGTGTGAAGAGGTAACCTTTTTCTCATCAACATCTAAAACATTGCTACCTAGTTCAAGAGGTGTCGATAAAACCACACATCAAAAGGGCACCAATTGAGATTAAAAATGGCCTGAAATGTTTATATAGGTCAACCATATTTTATAAAAAAACTGGTTTTGCTGCTGTATTTAAAAAAACAATAATTCATTTTTTTATGATGTAAGAAGAGATAACAAATCTAAACATAATTCAGATCTAATTAGGACAATGCCTGCTGGGCTGCATGGCTGAGATAAGATTTGGGGGTTTCACTGCTGCTGTAATCGTGCTCCCTGTGTGAAGTGGGAACTCGGGGGTGTGAATAAGCTGAGAGCTGGTTGGAGAGCTGGTGACAAACGCTCCGGATTTGCCCCACAAAACGCAGAGCAGTAACCTGACGGACACTCGCTTAAACTGTTTAAATTCCTGAGCAGCGTATCCTCGAAAGTAGCAGGGGAGCCCCTACTGTTTCATGAGAGACTGGGAAGTGCTCAAACAATGGACACGGGGAGCGCGTTTTGTCGCTGAGTGTTCACGGAACGGGACTGATGTTTTGCAAAGACTGCTGCTGCTGCTGCTGCTGCACGGAAGGGGCCGTGGAACCACAAAGCGAGGAGAAGGAGAACTCAAAGGGAAGACACGCCAATAAGGAGGGCAAAGCAGGACGCGTGTGTGCAGAGAAGCAGTGCCCTAGATCTGAATAACATCTGAGTAACTCTGTCATTCAGGATCCTTTTATGCTGTTTCGAGCACAAGTTTCTCCACCCGCACCTGGATAAACAAAGGGAATGCGTTCAGTGGCAGCCCATCTCCATGCGTAACTGGAGACGCATGGGCGCGTATTCGCTGTACTTTTTCATTATGCGTACAATAAATGATGTTTGTTTTGTCACCTACTCATGTCCTGTCCCATGACCACACTGCTATAGATGCAAAATAGACTTCCTCATACTTCATATCTGCCATGAGTGATGGCGATGCCTGCAGAATCTGACAGTACCGGTGCGCAGAGTAGCACTCGTGAAAAAAGCTTCAGCGCACCGGATAGCAATGGTTATGTGAAAACATGTGTCATCCCACTGTGCCGTGACCGAGATTACGAGTCGTGGGTGAGGCTAATGTTCACAAAAATATGGAGTTCCCAGAGACTCCGGAGTGCGGTGTGTGTGGGGTCGCTTTCGGTTTTTCTCGCTCTGCTGGTCAAATGTGCAGACTGGAAAGCTGAAGCCAGCAGCAGCAGCGCTGACAACACACTCTCGCGTTCATCGTCTCCCCTTCACTTCGTCTCAGGCTGCGCGGCGGAGCTGTTGCAAACTTGCTGGAGTGTTGTTTCCCCACTGGTTACCCTCGTTTGTGCCTTCTTTTGGGTCGGTGTCTACTTAATCCGCTGCGGAGTGCTCATCCAGAGCGCCCTCTCCTTTCTAACCTTGTGCCACCTGGGCGAAGCAGCGGCGTGGTCTCTCGTGGACGGGACAGATGAGCAGCTGTTTTCATTCACGACAGCAGCCGTGGTCGTGCTCTTCTGCGTGGCCACCGGTGCACTCATGGTAGCACGGCTGAATCAGGGCATATCGTTGATATTTTTCATCAGCTTTGTCAGGACTATCTCACTCTTTTCGCTGCAAAAAGTTCGGTCCACTTGGAGACCGTACGTAGCGTACCTGGTTGGAGTGCTGGGCATCCTGCTGGCGAGGTATGCTGACAAGCTCCTTCCCAACCAAGGGAGACACAAGGAGGGCTGCACCCCCGTGACTGGAGCCAGGGAAGATATCCCTGTATTTAAAAGGTGCAGGAGGTCCAGTTCTGTGATAGCCTCAGAGATGGCACACAGTCAGTCCAACAGTAAGTCACATCGCCGGACCTCTCTGCCATGCATCCAGAGGGACCAGGTAAGAAGTTTCTGTCCCAGACAACTTTTCTATGTTTGCCTTGTTTTCTGCTTACAATGACCAGATTTGTGTTTTTGGGAAACGGAGGAAAGGAGGGAGAAGGGATATAGCAAAACCAATCATACAACATTGCCTTGTTTATTATTATTATAACAATTATTATTACCATTATTTGTATTATGATTATTTATTAAAAACACATTTGTATTTTTATAATTATTATTAATATTATTACTGTAAATACATATTTGATTGAAGATTACAGAGGTGTATTTTTTATTTCTTGTATGTGTAGTATAACACAACACCACAACATCAATAATAGAATAATAATTGTAATAATAATGAAAATACAATATTATTACTTGGATCATAATCATTTTAAAAAGTAGTAGTTGTGGATTTTCTTTTTCTTTTCTCTTGTTGTATTACAGTACGTGTTTACATGTCATGCCTCTGTTTTACACTACAGTGCGGATAAGACATTTTGCTTTGATCTTTGCTCAGTTGTTGTTGCTCAGATCGTCTTTGGACTGATATCATGTGATATTATGTGGATCCACTTACAGCCATTGGCTGGCAATAAAGGAATTGCAACCATTTATAATATTTTATTTTCTGTTTTAACATATCTCTGCATAATGCTTCATTATTTTTGTATTTTATGTTACGTTATCTTCTTCTAAAGTTATGAATTATTCCACATGTCTGAAATGCTCCTGTGAAGATGTGCTCCAGTCAGTCCGAGTTGATGATTTATTAATGCAAATGTAACAGTATAATTGCAAGTGTAGCTCTTTTCTTAAAATAAAATTCCAAATTTGGTATTTAGTTGCTGAAGTGATGCTATTTTGGAAACAGCTTTCAAGTGCTGATGAGAAAGGGAAGCTGAGGACACGATGTCAATGATTCATCTCATCTCTAATTATTTATGTCAAACATTCTCCCCGGATGATCTCTAAGCCACTGCCACAAAACTGACAAATGCATTATTATCTCTCTGTCCTGGACTTTAAAACCACTTGCTCCTCATCATTTATCGGGGATTGCCATCCGTAAACTCCTGGAATGTAGCAGCTCTGCTTTAAACCTCCTCTAGTTCTAAAACACATGCATACCTTTGTTGAAAGGAGATGGGGGGCTTCACTCAAGCAGACTTATCAGCTCCTCGGCCCTCCTTATGGAAAAGCAATGAGCATGCTGAGCATGTGGATGGGAAACAGATTTCTGCAGTGATCAAAGCTCTCGTTGTGACCTGTGAGTGCGGTGAGGTTGTGAGATGAGAGGCTGCTCTGTCGGCCGGCCACTTGAAAGATGCCCTCAGCTCTCAGGCTAGTTAGCGTTGTAGTGTGCTTGTTTGTTTTTCTTTGTGGTGACACTCACACACTCCTGCATACACACATCGGATATGAAAAGACTCTTAGATACTTTACAGTTTACATTTTATTCTGATTTAGGTTTGATGTCTCAGCTGAAGCTAATCCAAGTGTCAATCATTATTAGTTTAATGTGAAGTAGTTTCCTGCAGAAAGGGAGTGAGCTTTTGGATGAGCTGGAAGATGGTTGCATATTCATTGAATACTTGCTGGATGGTCATAAACAAGGATGTGCACTGATGGCATATTATTTTAAACTCTGCTGTGTTTAAAAGTACTATGATGCAAATGATGGAGAGAATGTCATATACATATTACATATACAAAGACAATTGAATTATTATACATTGTCGTTTATATACATTTTCCATTAAGGTTATACCTTTTATCTCTAATCTCATATTCATATCATAAGAAACAAGAAGAAAACTGTATAGCTAAAAAACAGTGTTTCCATTTTGGTAATCGTGAACATTACCAGGTTTTTAATCAACAAACCAAAGATTTTCTTTGCTGTTGCAGAAGATGAATGTCAGATGAATTTGAATTCAGACTCCATAACTCTAGGGGATTTAATATGGAGTTTCTCAGAGAACAATGAAAACAGCCCTAACAGCAAGAGATTAGTTGTAAACAACTCTCATTGATGCAACTACGGTACTTAACACATTTTTCTGCTTCCAATTTATTTTCTTATAGTCATATCCCAATAAAAGCTGAGCAGAATGGAACAACAAGATGAACAAAACAGAGAATATATTGTAAAGATGGGTAACATGTAAGACTTCTCTGCCTCTGCTCTGTCACCTCAGCCAGGCTGGAGCCCTCTGCTGAGAGATGATCTCTATTACACGCTTCTGTTGTGGGGTAAGACAGCAGTGCTCAAACTGTCTTCATAGTATGTGAAAATAAGAATATAATAGATTTTCTGTAACGAAACCTGAGTGAGCTACCAACCGCTCTCATCTCTAAGCAGTTGAGCTTTCATGGCCTGCCTGTAATTGAGACACACATGGTGTACATATGCTGTCTTAACCGTGTCTTGTCTGTGTGGTCTGTAATGTGTAAACACGTCCATGCTGACCCTCTCTAGTCATCACCTCGCTCACACAGGGCTCTGGCCTCCCTGGGGGGGGTCAGACCCATGTTGGGGGCCACAATGCAACCACCACATGGTGACGGTAACAGCAGAGACGGTAGGCAGAAAAAGTGTCTAACTGCCTCTCCCTGGGAGACAAAATGACTGCATGACAATAACAAGGCCTAAAGAGGCTACATGATGTTGTTACACTTCTGTACCCTTGCCGTGTTCAGCAGAGTTATGATGTTTAAAGGAAGCTGTAAGAGCACCATAACAAGGAGTAGATTTGAGTGACAATGTTTGCATTAGTGCCGTGCGTCTGAAGTGTTTGAAGAATGGTGTGAGGTTGAAGAAGGGATTACGGTTTATACTTAACTTTGTTTTCTTTCAGGAATCGTTTCTCACAGACCTTAGAGTCTTATATAAATGCTCTTCAGATTGATAGGCACTGTGTAAAAACAGTTTATTCATAAAATAAATAGAGCGAAGAGCTATCCCTCTGACTCTTCTTCCTCAGAAGCCTCAAAGCTGCCATGTTGCCCTCGCCGCTCTGCCAAAGCCATGCTCCGAGGCGATTTGTGGATTTAATAAACAGCCATTTTCCCTCCTTTTGATTAGAAAATTGTCTGCCAGTATCTATCAGCTCACTAAGTAGATGCATTTCGTCCTTCCCATCATGAGCGTAATAAAATAAGGTCATTATCAGCTGATCTGATAGCGGTTAGCGGGGGCCTCTGCGGGATAGTCCTCCTTCTTGGGTTAATACAAAATGACAGGCCGGTCTACTGTGTTTCAGCTGGGAATATTGAACTGGAGGAAGAGGTGTGGACTTGTGGCGTGGATCGCTTTTCACAGTGTGTAAGGAAATTTGAGTCTGAGGCTCTCCGTCTGCAGACATCAGCACTGTCATAGAACTTCCTCTCCTCTCATGCAGAGGAAACCAGTCTGCCATGTTGCCAGCTCTTATCCAATGTTGTTAACTAATCTTACCTGAGCTGCAAAGTCTGAGCAGGGCTGGCTGGCCAGGAAGGGGAGTGGACTTTAGCAAAACACTGCTTTTCAGACTTTTCTCTTTAGGAGGCGTTGAAAGCCCCTCCCTTTTCTGTCAGTAACTCCATCCCTCTCCGCGGTGCTCTGCTCTCTGTCCTCTCACTGACACCAACACAAATATTATCCCAACCAGAGGAGGAAATTCTTTCTTAACTTGGATGATAAAGATATTCTTGAAATGTATGGTAATGACTTCCTGTGGAATGGGATCCAAACACAATTACTGTTGCTGTTGTAAATGTTTCCTGTTACTCTATTTTTGCTGCACCATCCATAATTGAATTGTGTTTTGGATGGAGGAGATTGTTGATAGCCTGTAGGGAAGTGATTTACCACTGGGCCACTGCGCTCTCTCATTCCAACAGCTTGTTTGTATTCTAAACACATCGCCTCTTGGGATATCATTTTTTAAAACTTTTTTTTAACTGGACTTGCCTTGGTTTGGAAAGGGTTTCATTGAAAACCTTACTCTGCGTTAGGAAAGGTAGCTGATACCAGCATGGAGTTGTGTGACTTGTGATTGGTCGATCCACTTCACACTTACAATCCCCATTCAGTCCTGTTGTATGAACTGCGCTGTGTGTTTGTGGGGTAGAAATCAAAAGTAGGTCATTCGAGGTTTTGTTGAGTAGCCAGGCAAAACTGCAGGCTCACTCGTACGCTCCTGCATGGTGGAGGGGTCTTGGTCTTACTGATTCAGCGTAACAACTTTAAGCGTGCCGAAGCTTGAGCTCCAGATTTGTTTGTGTACTGTAGTACCTCTACCACGTTGTTGATTATGCAGCGTGAAGCCACATTGCACTGGGATTTGGTCTGTGGCATAAACAAGAGCTTCATGCCACATTTTTTGTCTCTCCAAAAAGATAGGAGTGCGTCTATGGCTAGTTTCCAGATGTTTAAAGAATGATTTGGGATTTTCTTTCATAGTTTAGGCATAGTTTACTTCCTTATGATTACATTGTTTTCACCAACTAAAATGATACGATCTGTTTACTAGGCAACATCACTCTAACAAAGGGCACCTAAAATGGTGGTAAAAATAGGTACTCTGTAAACGACATTCACAACAACAATAACAACAAAAGTCTTATGTTGAATAAATATGAAGATACACCTAGTGGCGGATTTAAGTAGCTTAATCTAAGCATAAAGACTACTGTATAAACAGGGAGAAACAGCATGCTGGCTCTGTTATAATATAAAGATTACCATGATATAGCAACTAGTCGTTATGCTAAGTAAAGACAATCAGCTGCTGTCTGTAGCTTTATATTATAATGACAGTGTAATCGCTGACTGCCTTATTATTTCCGCATCTGAACTTTTTGTATTGACTTTCTGTCTTATTTGATCCAAGGAATCAACTGTGTAGGAAAAATCTTGGTATTACCGATTGTTACAACGGAAAAAAGTACGAAACTAAGACCCTCGAACATAGCAGGAAGTTTTAATAAACGGAATTATCCTTTAAACTCTACATTACATTGCTCACC